TACTCCGTTGCATTGTACAGATTTCAGGATGGCTGCAGGGATTGATTTGAAAACTAAGGACACATTTCATTAAACAATGACTGCAAATGATTTTTAGGGCATTTATTATTTGTGTTCCTCCTTCTTTAAGGAAGGATTTCAGGTAGCTTATAATTACAGACGCAGACTCAGTGCAATAAAAAAATTAGTAAGGCAGAGCTTTAAAAAAAAGGGAAAAAGATAATTCTACCAGAGAAATGCTACATAGTGACTCCTGTTATCTTGTGAAGTAAGCTATAATTCGCTACATATATACTTTTAGTTTTGCGGTTGAGAAGTCCTTTCAGGTGTTTAAGAGAAAATCAGTGGGTATGTTTCTCATTCTGGATTACTATGCTCCTAATATCACACACATATTGTTTCCAAGATAGGAGTGAGTTGTGCCTCTGAGACTGAAAGAGAAACAGGTGGATTTCTGATGTGAATCAGAGAGACAAAAGGAACGGTAACAACCCTCACACTACCTTAGGGTCCCCAGGAGCAAAGCAGCTAATGTAGTTGTTGATCTGCTTGAAGACAAAGCCTCTGTCCATGAAGGTGAAACATCTCTGTGGAGGAATACAAGCAAAAAGTTATCTCAGGTTCAAACGTTTCGGAAATTTGAATGCTAATCAGCATTTATTGTTAATAAGTTTATCCATGGACATAAAAACATGCCATCAACATTGCCAGAGAACCCACTCTATTCTAGTCACTCTGCTAGACAGCTTGTAAAAAGCACATCTTTGTCCCATAACCGACATCCTTTTCCCTGGAGGTCCCCACCTTGATGAAGACAGCAAGGCTATGATTTGCATTCTTAGATGCCTCTGGGTTATCTCGAAACTTCTGAGTGATGTGTGGCATCAGCATATTTACAACGGTTTCCACTGCATGATGATAGGACGCAGGAAATCTCTGGTTTCGCAACAACTAAAGAGAATTCAGTGCAAACATTTATTATTTTTTAAGTTGCAATCATTTGGGAGGAAAAAGAAATATCTCACCCCTAAGTCCATCTTTAAAAACCCAGAGTTTCTTGCTGGGCATGGTGGCTAACACTTGTAACCCCAGCACTTTGGGAGGCCAGGGTAGGGGGATCACTTGAGCCCAGGGGGTTAAGACCAGCCCGGACAACATAGCAAGACTCTGTCTGTACAAAAATTAGCTGGGTGTGGTGGCGTGCACCTATGGTCCCAGATACATGGGAGGCTCAGGTGGTAGGATTGCTGGAGCCCAGCAGTCTGAGGCTGCAGTGAGTCAGGATCAGCCACTGCACTCTAGCTAGGGTGACAAAGCAAGACCCTGCCTCAAAAAAACCAGTAAAACCTCAAAGTCCTAGTCTTCTTTATCTGAAATTGGAAAAAATGAATTATCCTTCCTTCTTTCAAAGTACTGTACAAGTGGTCAAATACTTCAAGTGCGTGCTGTGGATTCTAATTGGAACTTCAAACTTCAGCATCATAAAGATCGCCTCAGAAGTGTTTGTAAAAAGGTGGAGGTTCAACCATTCCCAAAGATTCTGAATCAGGAGCCCAGCAGGGAGAAGGGGCAAGGACCTGCATTTGTACTGAGCATCTTTGATGATTCTGGTACCTGTACCTCTCAGAGATCTCCTTAGAAAGCACTGGCTTACATTTGAGCTCCAAATATTCAAACTGAAAATACACATTTTGATGACCGTACATGATTAAACTGCTTGGCAGCATCTCCTTACAATCAACTTTACATAGTAATCTTTCCTCATCAGGAACCTAAAAAATTTTACCCAGATTACTTAGCAATTAGCCAACACTTATAAAAATCTTCTACATGTCAGGCATTGCACTACATATTTTAATGTAATTTTTCATTCAATTCTTATGATACTCCTATAAGTTTAATCCTCATTTGTTAAAGTGTCAGAGAGGTTAGGTACATGGTCCTCAGTCATACAACTAACAACAATTCAGAGCCAGGTCTACCATAAATCCAAAACTTGGCCTCTTTCTGTTACATGAAGCCACACTGCCCCCTCCCCTATGCCTATAAATAGAATAATTTACTGAGAGCCCGAAATAGGAAGCATGCTCCATTACATTCATCTATTCATGCACTTAATTCTAACAGCCACAAGAGGGGGGTATTTTCATCCCCATTTTATAGATGGGAAAACAAAGGCTTAGAGAGTTTACTAAAAAGTACTAATTGATCTTTAATAAAACCCTCCTTTTCTTCCCCCCTTCAGTAACAGAACAGTAATGGTTTTACAAGGGCACATGGCTGCCCAGCTAGACTACATTTTCCAGTCTAACTTACCACTAGGTATGAACCACATGACCAAATTATGGAAGGAATACGTGCCTTGCTCAGGCTCCCCTCTTAAAATGAGCTGCTGGCCTCCCTTGTTCCTTCCTGCGCCACTGCCTGGACTGTTTTGTGGCGGTGAGCCAGCTTCTCAGCCATGTGGATGAGGTTAAGGCCGCACGCTGGATGACTGGATGGGAGCAGCTGAGTCACTGAATGACCTTGGGGAACTAGCTGCCCTGACCTCCAAACTGCCTACCAACTCATGATTGTCCAAGAGAGAAATGACCTGCTGTCGAATTTAAACCACTAACATTATGACCTGTTTTAGAGCAGCCAAACCAATGTCCCAATATCAAACAAATAGTATTTTATAAAACTGAGAAGTGGAATTTAGACATTTCTGACATGATGGCAGGCATTATCTTATGCATTAAATGCCAGAACCTATTGGGAATATTTGAAATACCAGCCTTATAACAATTTCAATTCTCAAACCAATTACAAGGAAATGTTTATAAACTTCCATAGAGTCAAGACTCCAGTGAGGAAAGGATCAAGTAATAAAAATGTGAAGTTCACCAACTTTAAAAAAACAGAATGGTAAAATGTGAAATTCCAAAGGGATTTTGCTGCATACATGCCACCAATAACTCTATATCCTGAGATGACAGCATCAATAGATGACCAATTGCCAAGACCCCAGGCAAGGCCAACTCTAAACCACAGGCATGACTGCTAGCTACCCAATCTGGCTGCTCCTGAAAAAGAGGTATCCCAAGAAATGCCTGTGGCCTCCACAATGGGGCTGAGTCAGTGGCTGCTAAAACCAGGAAAAGTAGATGGAGAACTGTATCATGGACAGATTGAGTGGGTACTATGCAAGCCTATTAATCAATATTGTAACCCAAAGTAGAACAGCTGGGCATTTACGCCTCCTGATGTGATGCAACAGTAACAGCTATGAGGTATCTGCACCAGAAAGAAAATCAAATGAAGTCTCTAGACCCAACCACAAGTTCACAGGTAACATAGGGGACAGAGAACCATGTATGTAACACTGTGAGGCTACCATCAGCCAAGTCTAAACCGTGCGATATTCTGCTGGACAAATGACCCAGTTCTTCGACAAATGCGTTGCAAAAAAAAAAAGAAAAGAAAGAAAAAGAAAAAAAAGTCCAAACAGGTGAAAAGAGAACAGTTTAAGAATCAAAGAAACTTCAGAAACACCTCAAATAAATGGAATGTGTGAACTCTGTTTAGATCCGGATGCAGACAAACCCAACAATAGAATGACATTTTTTAGACACCTGGGGAAAACTGAATACAGACTGGGTATTAGATAATAATAAAGAAGCTTTGCTAATTTTGTGTGGTGTGATAATGTTATGGTGCTTATGTCTCTTTTAAAGGCTTATCTGTTCGAGATGACATGCTAAAATAAAGTGTCTACGATGGAGTGAGAAAATATCTGGGAACTGCTTTAAAAATACTATAAGGTAAAAATGTGAGGGTGGGTATGTATCAAGCAAGGGCAGCAGAACACTGGCAAGTGGGGAGGCTGAGATTTGGCAACTCATCCCTCTAATTCTGCACTTATTAGAAAATACAGTAAAATGTTTGTATTAAAAAGAAAGACTACGTGGAGAACAATGATGGATAATTTACATACCAACCCCATCATTAGTGCAGTTCAGTGGGTAGGCAATGACAACTCATGCCTTTGAAGGCTGGAATGAAGTTCTCCCTGCAGTGACAAATAGCTGTTGTGAAGAGTCCTAATAATTAAATTATTGCCTCATTACATTTGGCAATAAAACAAACTAAAGCCTTTTAATGAGGTAAGATACACATTTCAAGGTGATAAAGACCTAAGCAATAGGATGTTTTTATGGAGATTACTGTAAACTGCAATAGAAGAGGACAAGCTAAGATAATGCTCCAGTAGTGAGTACCTGATAGGGCCGTGGAGAAGAGGACACTGAGACGCTAAGGGCCTTCTCAGCTAAACCAGCCCCAACACCCTGCCACATCCTGCTGCAGTGCCTCTTCCATGTGCTGTAGTGTCCCTTTCTGCCCTGGCACCACCTGACAGGTGCTGCCAGTGTGGTGTCAGCCTGCCCAGCCCCTGTCCTCACAAGACCAGTCTTTCCAGCGACATGCTGGGCATGGTGCCCCCACCCTCTACGAGTCACACTTGTGAGCTGCCTGCTGGCTGCTCAGCTCCCACCAACTGACTCCTCGACTAAATGGGATCTCCCTGAACACCCACACCCAGCCTGGCTGTGGAGGCCCTTATGGGCACTGTGGTTAACAGCCAGGTCTTTGCAGAGATCCAGTGATGGGCTCTTCCCCGCCCTACAGGTCATCTGCTCTCCCACAGTGGGGCCGCCCAATCACTGCTTCATGGTAAGGACTTCAGAATGATCTTTAAAGTTCACTTCTTTGTTCTGCACTGTGTTCTTCCACTCTCTCATGTGGTTTAGAGACTTCTTCTCTATGGGCTATTTTACTGCTTTCGGAGATAAATAAGACTTTTCATTAAGAACTTCCTCTGCAGCCAATTAAGCTGACTGGGTTCCTTTCCTCATGGGGGCCCAGTGTGCAATGGCTGCAAACAGCAGCTTCCTTGGTAGTGTATGCAGCCTGTTTCTTGTATGGGTTGCTCTAAGGGACCTTGGAGATAGGCCTTCCAGATGCAGGTTCATGTCTCTGACCTTGCACTACCCCAAAGTAGGCTCCAAACAGGCATGCCAGGTGCCTTTGGAAAGCCCCAGGACACTGTGGCCAGGGTTTACACTGGCCAAGTGATCGCGTACATCGGCACCAAGCTGCAGAACAAGGAGCATGTGATGGAGGCCCTGCCCCGAGCCAAGTTCAAGTTTCCTGGCCACCAGAAGATCCACATCTCAAAGAAGTGGGGCTTCACCAAGTTCAATGCCGATGAATCTGAAGACATGGTGGCTGAGAAGTGGCTCGTCCCAGATGGCTATGGGGTTAAGTACATCCCCAGTCATGACCCTTTGGACAGGTGGTGGGCCCTGTACTCATGAGGGCTTCCACTGTGCTGCCCCTTCATAATATGAACAATAAATTTGCTTCCTGTCAAAAAAAAAAAAAAAAAGAGAGAGAGAGAGAGAAACTTCCTGTTTCTGGCTTAGCAAACAACAAAAGTAATGGGGCTGAGAAGAAATTTACCAATGACATTTTCTAGCATTCTGATTACTCCCCCTTATTGAGATCCCTATGACACTTCCTCTCTCTTTCTCCTATTTTCTTCTACAACTTGTTTTGTTTTTAGACAAGGTCTCACTCCATCACCCAGGCTGGAGTGCAGTGGCACAATCAGAGCTCACTGTAGCCTCAGCCTCGTGGGCTCAAGGAATCCTCCCACCTCAGCCTCCTGAGTAGCTGGGATAATAGGCATGTGTCACCATGCCCGGCTAATTTCCTTTATTTTTTGCAAAGATGGAGTCTCATTACGTTGCTCAGGCTGTTCTCAAGCTCCTGGGCTCAAGCGGTTCTCTCACCTGGGCCTCCCAAGTGCTGGGATTACAGCTGTGCACCATTGTGCCCAGCCTACAACCTCCATTCTTCCTACCTCCTCATCATTTTCTTTCCCAAAGATCAGTCTTCTCTCTATAATCTGCATGTTTATCTCACTCTCTGCCCTGCTGACACCATGAGAATGGTGCCTCACATCTCCAGCTGCAGGGAACATAATGAACTCCTGGCCCCATCACTCTGCTCTGGAATCTACAGCTGCATTTGCACTGAGACCACCTGTCCCTGCATGGTTGCTCGCTGCCAGTGACTGAGGGTGGCAGGGAAACTGTAGCAGGCCTGTTGCTGGGGGATGTGGAACTCCACTGATGACTAAGGCAGAGGTTTGAGGCCTCTCCAGTGGCCTTGTTTACCTCTCTTACTTAGAATTCCACCATGGCCCAAAATGCTTCCTTCCTTCTCTGTTAACCTTGGATCACACCTGCACTGCACTCTGATGGCTCTTCTACTGTCTTCTGGGCTCCTTCCCATTTTCCCTTGGAGTCAGTACCCCAATAAGTATCTAACATGACTAATCCTATCAGGTCACTCAGATCAGCACAGTCATTTTCCCCAGAAAAAAGTTTAGGTTTATGGTTTCAGCGATTGGTACTCACAGATTTCTTTAGTTCTATCTGTTCTCTTCCCTGTCCAAGGCTGAACCTCCATCTGCCAACTGGAAATGTGTTTGGCTGTGCCTCAGCCTCTTGTGGAACAATGGCTGGTGACTTCCCTTCCTGTTCTCCCTTCCTTCTCATAGTAATAGAATCTCAATTTTTAACTAAGCTCATGGATGCCCAATGTAAAGACTACATTTACCAGCATCCCTCGCAGCTATGTACAATCATGGCAAACTCTGGCCAATGCGATAGCAGCGGCAGTGATGTGGCAGTGCAACTTCTGGGTCATATCCTTAAAGAAAAGGGTGCATCTTTCCCTCCCTACTGGCTCCAGCATGGATGTGGTGGTGAACCCAGTTAGATCAAAAGGAGAAGCGGCACTCTAGGGGGACAAAGCAACAAGATAGAGGGAGTTCAGGCCTCTTATTACGGTGGAACAGAAGCCTCTTATGAGCTTGGGTTTCCATGTAGAAAGAAATAAACTTTTATTTTCCTGTTTAACTAACTGTTACTTCAGATCTTTGTCATACCCACTGAACCCACAGCCCTAGGCATAAGACACCCCAAGCCTAACTCATAACCTTGCATCTTCCCTAGTAAACAAGTCCTCTACCCCACTGCCTCTCTCAAAAGCTCCTTCTTCTATGATCTCACACTGAACATCTAGGTGGCCTTTCTTCCCTGAGTCAAATCTGACCTTACTGTGCTATGTTTTGTTTCAGTCAGGTTTATTGAAGTACAATTTACATACCACAAAATTCAGACCTTTAAAGTCTACAGTTTGGTGAGTCTTGACAAGTGAATATAGGTGTGTAACCATCACCACAGTCAAGCAGAGAAAGTATATCTGTTGTCCCCATCCCCACCTCCAGACCTGGGCAGCCACTGGACTGTAGTTTTTCTTTTTCCATAATGTCACATATGGGATATAGACCCACATGGTACATAGTGTTTTGTATCTAACTTCCTTCAGTTCACAGAAGGCTTCTGAGATCCAACCATGCTGTTGCATCAGTCACTACCTCGCTCCTTTTTATTACTAAGCAGCATTCTATTGCGTGGAGTTACCACAATTTTCTACCCATTTACCAGCTGATGGCATTTGGCTTGTTTCCACTTTTTGATTATTATGAATTAAGCTACTGTGCACATTTGCATTTAGGTCTTTATACATTTATATCTTGCATTTCTCTTCAGCAGATATCTATAGTGGAACTGCAGGGCTGAATTAATAATGTCTTAATAATCTCCCTTACTCATTCACAATGCTCTCCATCCTTATCCCCAATCCCACCTTAACCCTTCAATGCCATATTTTCATCAGCATCACCATAAAATGTCATTTCATATTATTGCTGTTAGAGAGCTAAAAGAATAAATAAATCACAATTTAAAATGTCTGGTGAATCTGTTCCATAGGCTATTTATACTTCAGGGGATAGACAGACTTATTGATATAAATGTTTCCAAGCCACTCTGCCCACCGTTACACTCTCTGTCATCTTGTCACACCTACTACAGAAAGGTCTCTAACAATGTGTCTGCCGCTTGGCTTCACAGCTCTCCGTAATCTCATCTTTGTTTCTGAGCAAATCTTTGTGTTTACGCTTTCCCCTCTAATCTCAAGCTAGCCAGCCTGAACTCTGCCCCAGTGGCCTAACCTGGGCATAAGCTATTTCCTCTGCCCAATACTCATTCTCCTATCCCTAGATTGTGGTATCCTGCAAGGCTCAGGTAACGATTCACCTGTATCCCCACATAAATCTGTGATTCTTAAAGCTCACATATACACATTCCTGCATTCTGCTCTCAATGTTCCAAGCTGAGTGTCTTCTTTCTCCAATGACTAGGTCAGCTTCAAGGTTAAGGATTCACCCTCAACTCCATTTGCATTTTTTCCTCAATGCTTTGCACATTACAAACAACTGTTCAAAACACTCGAGTGTGACGTACACATATTAGCATTCCACCTGTCACATACGTAGTGTTTACAAATTTGGTTAAGGGGAAGTCCAAACCGTCTATTTAGATATGAACCATACTCTCCTTCTTTCACTTTCAAAAGAAGTTCTTTTCTTGTTGAATTACACTAGAAAATGGTCAGAGAGTAAACAAGCAACACGCAAGGGCATATATTCATCCTATGCTATACAGAGTTTTCCAACCTCCTTTCTTCCAGGACACCCGTGGAATGCCAGCAATGTGCTTCACTCCGTATGGGAGGAAAGGAAATGCAAAAGGAGGCTGCTGAAATTACAGCTGCTAAATATACATGGTGGAAAAGAAACACCAACAAACTTTGACCATAGGGGCACCGGGTTGGGAGAGGACTCCTCCATAGGCCTTCATGATGTCTGCTTCACATTTTTCTCAAATACCACTTGTAACTTCCAAGCACGTGTCACCTATGAAATGAAAGTCTGGCACAGCCACAGGCAATCCATCCATACTTTGCAGGTCCATCTGCTGTAGTAAGGAAACTACTTATTTTAGATGCTGGCTCGAAGGGGGTCTGATTCACACCCTTCCTCAGTGAATGTAACAATGCACAGTTTGGTTGGCTGGGGACAAGAAGGTGGCCACTTCCACCTTCAGCAGAAGTGCAGCACTGGAAGTAAGCATAACGCTGCCTCCATGTAAACATCCATTGAATGGACTCACTCGACTACCACCAGGAATGACACGAAGGCATCAGCTTAATACACACTATGCATGTGTAGATATCCTTGGGTAGGACATTTCAACCGGCACTGAAAGCTTATCTAGCTCTTAGGAATCCAGCACCTGGGTGTTCCCTCAACACTGGTATGTACCTTATCACGGTACTTTAAGAAAGACTCCCCTGTCCAGTCAAGCCTGAAATCCCAGCACTTTAGAAGGCCAAGGTGGGTGGCTCACCTGAGGTTAGGAGTTTGAGACGAGCCTGGTCAACATAGTGAAACCCTGTCTCTGCTAAAAATATAAAATTAGCCGGGTGTGGTGGCTTGTGCCTGTAATCCCAATTACTTGGGAGGCTGACACAAGAGACAAGAGAATTGCTCGAACCCAGAAAGTGGAGGTTGCAGTCAGCTGGGATTGCACCACAGCACTCTACCTTGGGTAACAGGAGAAGAACTCCGCCTCAAAGAAAAAAAAAAAAAAAAAAGACTCCCCAGTCAGAAAAAGTAGTAAGGTCAGTGTCAGAAAGACATCAGAATAAATTAATAATTTTAGTCTAAAAATATTAAGACCCCTGAGGGGATGCAATCAACGTATTGGAAATCACTAATGGTACAAGAATGGTGACTATTCGTAAATTCAGAAGACTACAACAAGGGATTAGGACATAAATTTCTTCAGATGTTAGTAAGACAAACACAAAAACAACTAATTCAAACATGAAACTCATTACTCCTAAGAGAATGAAGGCTTTAAGAAACTCATTACACCTAACTGAATAAGGCTTTAAGATAATACTAGAAGAGTTCTCAGCTCAGTAACGTGTGATTAGGGGAAAGAACAGCAGGGTGTCTGCAGGGTCAGGGAGGCAGAAGCCAGAGGGGAGTGCTCTAAAAGTGAAAATGTTGAACCCTCCGACAGGTGTTTGTGAATCTCTTTTTATAGTAAATTATGTTATAGTTAAGCTTTCTCCTTTGGGATGCCAGTGTTTCCTCTTAAGCACTTTTTTTTTTTTTTAAACTACTTGTAAAAACTCTCTGAATATTGTTTTAGGGCCAAGATATAATTAACTTACAGAAAAGGTTGTACATGGTAGCATTTGAGTGGTTTGTGTTAAGTTCCAAAAACAAACCATTTCCTAGAGCAGAGGTGTTGATGAATCACGTTGTAAGACTGGAAACAGCAGCACCCTAGGAGAGGCCCACTGGGACTCAGCCACATGTTCCTGGCTC